TACTATACTGAATATGTTCATTAAAAGGCCGACCCACTTTTTGTAAGAGTAAGGGTCAAATAAGTTAATGTAGTACGTATAGTAGGAAGAAAATTTAATTTGATTCTACAGAAGAAGTTGAATCTAACTCAAAACCCACCCGCCCCCGAAATAGGATATCATTGGCGTCGGAAGCTAATTGAAAGTGTGTGTGGGGGGGGGGGGGGGGGGGGGTAAGTGTAAGAATTTTTTTTGGACCTTCAAAAAAAAACCTGACAAGCAAAATAAAAAAAAATGTCCATTTTCCAAACACAAAAATCCTATTTCGTGAGGGGGGGGGGTGTGAAAGTTCGAACTTCAGAGCCAAAGTTTTTTTTTTTCCAAATACCACCACGTTCCCCATTTTAAACCTTTACTGCATCGTGTCCATGGAAAGTGGGGGGGGGCTAAACCTACGCAGGAATGTTCAATGTCTGTACTAAGTCTATCTTTGGGAAAGAAGTGGGGGCTATGCCCCCCTCCCCAGTTCCGACGCCTATGTATTTTCAAGTTTGGACAATTTCCTGGGTTTTATTTTGCGCGTGTCAAGTTGTTAGTAACTGCTGGGACAGGGCTTTGCAAAGGAGTGAGGAGCGTTATGGGTACATGTAGGCAGGCGCAGATCCAGAATTTTTTTCCAAGGGGGGTGGGGGAGGAAGCCAGTCAAAAAAATTCCAATCCCAGAAATTTCTTGACAAACATAAAAAGAAGAAAAAAACCTAAACTCGCTTAAACGTCAACATTCTATTTCGTGGGGGGTTAACTTTTTTCCTTGTTTTAGTAACCTTGTAAATTCCAGGGGGTCCTACCCCCCCCCCCCCTCTAGATCCGCGCATGGAAGGAGAAATCGGAACCAGTCTACATGCACCCAGGCATAATAGAAACACCCCGGTCTTTTTTTCTGCGTTAATATTTTATGTTAAAATAGCACTTTTCAATAAAGAAAGAAATATCTTTAGTACGCACCGTGTTTATCATCAACCAGGAGAGCTAAAAAAAAATCTTAATTTTTAATCTCGAAAATTCTATTTGGTGGTGGTGAAGGGGGAGGGGGGGTCGTCAACTTTTTTTCAGTAATAAATTTTACTCATATGCCACTAAGTACATGGCTTTTAATATATAAATTGACTATTAGTACTGCAACAAAAAGTTTAAGGGATGGGGGGCAACAAGCCTTTCGCTGAACTTTTCCAGTAGTAAAAATTTACGTTTAGGAAAATGTTTAGTGGCCACCCTCCCCTCTACCGATGAAACGTACCCCATAGGAGGTCGTCCACCCGGAAGTCAGTATATATATTGAGACTTTGGTGGTGTGATTGTACATTGTATAATTTCCTTTTCGAGAATTTTTCACTCAAATGGAGAAGCCACCTCTTGCCGGTGAAGAGCTGCTTTGTGCTATATATACAGTTAATTCTCGATAAACCGCCACCTTTTGTAATTTAGAAATCATGGCGGTATAACGAATTTGGCGATGAATTGAATTTCCCATCTTTTAGGATACAGAAGTAGAGTTACCGTTCTTAGAAATACCATTTAGCGTTTTTATTCTTATTATTACACGTACATGTATATAAAAACATATTTCTAAATTTGAAAATACTTCAAGTTATTTTTTATGTACAATTTCAAAATGTGCAGTTCTGAAATAAAGACAAGTACATGTGGATGCATGTAAATCTGCACGTCTGATATTGAAAAAAAACATACTGGGTCGATTGTCGTGATATATTGCCGATAGTACGTAAAATGGATTCTTGAATAAATTCATTCTTTATGGCATCATTGGTAATGAAACGTTCACAATTTATACCGTATAATTTTTTTAAAGCAAATTTTGCAAGGTTTAAAGCAGAGATCATCAAAATGATATCGTTACCGGCGTACTTTAATTAGGACCGCGTTCGTGGTGAAGCCATGACTATAAATGATTTTTATTAAACAGAAACCAAAATTATTATAACAGTTCATGTTAAAATTATTGTTTATTTAATTCTTGTTTAATTATTTAATTGCATGTACCTTGTCTGCTTTTGCATGCTTTACAACAGGAATAGCCGTCAACCAATTAGCAGCGCTTCACTGACCACACGCACCTGTGGCGGTATATCGAGATAATTGACACTTAAAAATGGACGTTTGTTTTGAAAACAGGGTGGCGGATGGCGGTATGCGAATTTGGCGTTATAAAGAGAATTTTATATAGCAGGAAAAACGTTCTTGGGAAATCCTGGCGGTATGGCGAAAATGGCGATGAATCGAATGGCGATAATTCGAGAATTGACTGTACTCGGCACTTATAGCCATTGAGCAGTGAGGGATCTTTTTCGTGCCAGCACCTACTGCGACACGGGACCTCGGATAATACGGTCGGGATCTCATCCGAAGGACCGAACTCCACGTTTTATAGTGGGAACCCACGACGTATTGGTCGACTCCTTACTTCTGTACTTCGTGACTCTATGTAGAGCAGACGCCGTAACCACAGTGCCACGCGGGCGACTGCATCCAGGGCGGGGGGGGGGGGGGGAAGGGGGGGAAGAGTCATTATCCATATGTACTCGTGAAGATTATCTATGTTTAACTAAATGGTTAAAATGATTTAATAATAAAATACTATTAAAATGATATTATTTAAATATTTCTTCATATACAATGAAGCGCATTGAAGTGGTAAAATTTTCTGCTTGGATGAAACGTTTTGAGCTATCTTTAGACACGCCCATTTCTTTAGAAAAGAAAAATCGGTCAAATGATTCAATCGAATACCTGTAGAACAGGTATTTCATAAATATAATAGCCAATGAAATTGACGGTCTACATCAACACCGAGTATGCACGTGTTCGACTGATACATGTGCTACGCTAACTCCAATAAACATGTTAAAATCATAATTATGTACAAAATCGTTGCAATGCGTGTTTTACATAAGCAGGAACTCTATACGTAGCTCTTTCTTATTTAAAAATCTTCATATTAGTGTAACCCATGTTGCTTGTCGCAGAAAGTGTAGTGTCCTAAAACATTACGACGAATATTCCTTTATCATTTCTAAAGAAATGGGCGTGTCGTTATGTTATAATTGACGTTCGAAGCATGACTCAGAACGTTTCGTCCGAATGGAAAATTTTACCACTTCAATGCGCTTCATTGTAGAACGGATAACTTTTCTTCAAAACCTGAAAACGTTGGTATATATAAACCTTGTTTTACAATTTTAAAAAAACTATTCGGGGGGGGGGGGGGGGGATAGGAATGGGGGCGAATTGCTATATATAGCGAGATTTCCCACGGAAGACTAGCTATATATTGAACTTCCCCGGGGGAAGTCCCACTGTATATTCTTCCGCAGGAAACATCACTATGTAGTCAGTCTTCCAGGGGAAATCTTACCATCTAGCGAGAAATCCGAGGGAATGGCATGTATCGGGTACATACCTGAACTTATGACAAACATCAGTCATTTAAAAAAATATAAAGTATTAAGGCAGAAAATTGAAAAAACTCGAATAACCCCGGCCCGGGTTTGCTTACCTAATTTTACCAACACTCTTGGCGAACACCCCTGCCACCTAGCGTTATAATGCGGCACTAAATTCGGACAACTTGTATTCGTCTTCATTGAATATGCTTCATTGCTTGCGTGATTGAGTTATCGTTCGTAATAAAAATAATCATTCAGAAACTGTATCAATTTAAAAGAAAGTAAAATGAATTCACAAGAATAAAGCAACATAGAAGTAAGGACAAAATGAAGAAGGATAAAAGTCAAAGTGAAATGTAATAAAGACGAATATGAAAACAATAAAGTGACATATAATTACAATAATAACAAAGCATAAAGAAGTAGGCAGAATAAGAATTAAAGCAAGATACATAGACTTTTGGCGGTAATTCCCTTCCATAGAGGAGAGGGATCGGCTTTTTGTGATAAGCAGCATGGAAGGTGGACATTCTCTGGTTTTAAAATTGTATAAATATACATCTAAATAAAAAAAATTAGATAGTTGTTCCTATATTGTATTGTGAGTTTATGAGTAACATTTAATAGGGGGAAAATAACCCTTTTAATAAAGTCCATGACATAATTACGGAAGTTCTTATACATGTAGGACCTCTCAAAAGTATTCTATAGAATTCGATATTAGGAATTGTCGAAATTGTTTTTACATATTAAATTCTTTATAAAACTTTCTTTGAATAAATGATCGGGATTAAATCTGTTAAAATTACTTGAATTTGTTACATGGATATCAAAAAATGATTTGCCACGAATTCTAATGCTTGTTATAACGAATTTAATTCGTTTAAACGCATTCAGAAAATTGTAACATTGATGCTTATTTTCTATATGCCCTGATTGATGAATTTTATAATAATTTGCATAAAGCAATAAAGGGGAAAAAACTGTTATATATAAATCCAGTCCATCGTTTCCAACTGTCGTTGATGCCCCCAGTATGCCCAACCAATTATTCGTTTTAACAAATTCAAAAAAAAGTCCTGTAGAAAAATTCTTATACATGATATCAAACATGTTTACAAAAACCTTACTACGGGGTAACTATGTATTCCAGAATCGGGTTGAACGTTTGAGATCCCGAAGCAGAAAATCCAATAGTAGGGCACCCAATATCATTTTGCTTAAACAAATCTTTTAAAGACTTTAATTTATATAAAGTTCTGTGTTTTATATGAAAAGTATTATTGATGCCATTGAAATTAAACATCCAATCAATGAATAAAATGATAATAAGCATATACATTTTAGCACGCCCTATCAAGCAAACTGTCGTGCCATTAGTAAAACGATGATACAGTATAGAGAATACGTTACCTTTCAATTACTAAAACCTTTAACAATTAGTTTAGAGGAAATCAATTTTTCAACATGTGCAGGCATTATGGTATATGATTTTCACTGAATAATTGAGATTCAAAATTCATTTTGTTATTTTCACTTGGCGTTGTCATTTCGTTTGATCCATATGAAAATTCAGAAAACAAAATGCGTATCTCCGTTTCTGTGTTTGTTATAATTATAATATCACAATATAATGCTTGTGTATTCGGTGCTTTCAAAGAATTTTCGGACTTTTCACGAGTGTCTGCAAATGATAACAAAAGACCAACTCTTGACATTATAGGGGAATATGAGCAGATTCAAAGTCTGTCTGAATGTAGCTCAAGGTGCTTTAAGCGACCGGGTTGTACAACTTTCTTCTTTCATCGAGGATCTAGGAAATGTTATGCAACCAGCTCTGCAAATGGACTTTTACCATCCGAAGGATTTGTGCAATTCTCCATTCAAACAAGTATATATATCTTCTATTGTCCTTATTAATAGAATAAAACGGATAATATCCAAATCCATATTCGAACATCGTCATTAAAATAAAAACGAGTTACATTGATTTGTTTTCTAGACAAATGCTCGTTTTATAAATATTCTTGTTTTACCAAGTTAAACTTTTCTAATGAAATACTTTTGTTTTAGGTGTGCCACAAAGGAGAGAATTTGGCAAATCGCATTATCTTCTTGTGAAGAATAGATTAGCGATCTTAGAGGCACAAGTAATGTCATTAACATAATTGATCAATATACCAAAGATGATTCTTAAATCTTTTATTTTATGTTAAACAACATTATATGCTGACTCTAAAAACAGTGTTTAATTTGAATTTATAGCACTCAAGTAAGTATCCGATCTATTAAGATACAGTAAAAAAAAATCGATGACAATATTTTCCATTCTTCAGTAACATAGTCTGTTCTTGAATACAATGTAAAACAAATGAATATGTGTGACATTAAATTGCGATTCTTCAAGGTACTAGTTCGTGTATGCTGAATCCGTAAAAATATGCTGGCCGTCATGAAAATGGCGTTTTAAGGTCAAAATGGCGATTTAAAATGGCGGACATCCAATTTTCCTAATTTTCTCTTGAATATTCAGCATACTCGAAATAGGTCAAAACTATGCTGGACGAAATAATAATTATTTGTCGCTAGAAGTATTTTTTCGTATAAATTGGACCAGACTAAAATAAAATACAGAATTTGACAACTTCATTTTAGTTTAAACACAACGTTCACCAAAATAGAAAACATCTTTAATTGTAATGCTTAACAATGTAAAAATAATTGGGTATAAATTTACCAAACTACATGTATAGCTTAACATGTTTTGCAGTTTGTTGAAATAAAATAATTGATGATTAATACAAGGTCTTAAAATGTGGATTTTATGATTTTTTTTTTCAAGAGATACTGTTTGGCGCTTGGGGCAAAGCTTGTCGAGATAGAAACTCCAGAAGAAAGCACATATTTGACAAACATGGCAATTCAGGAAAATACTGGTAAGAAACAACCTTATTTCATATTCAATCGATTCCTCAGTTATATACACTTGATCTCTTTCTCTAACTCAAAAGTTAAACCCGAAGTCTGGATTAAAATTTTTAAAAGCATTGAAACTAATTAAAGCGCCATGGTAAAGCTGGATTTAAGGTTATCCGATCCTCAGGTTCTGAAAATCTGGCATTGGGTAATTGAAAATGCTCACAAAGATGTCTCTAAATTCTCAAATTAAAATGTATTTACCCACGGTGTTTCTTTAAAATTCAACTTTAAATTTAATCATATTATATAGGGAAAATTAGTAAATCTCGAATAATTTTTCAGGAAATGCGATTTGAACTACCTACTGCATATTTTTTAATTGATAATTGATCAAGAAATACATTTTATGAATGAAAATCATAGGTATCCAGGCTTTTAAAGAAAATTGCATGAATTTTACACTTATTTGGACTTTACTTTGTCCTACTTACTTCCATTGTTTCATAATGCATAGTGTATGAAGTGTTTCCTTTCAAAGAAAACACTGTAAATCACTTCTAATATCAAATCATGCATATAAACTTTGGTAATTAAGGCTAAATTAAAAGAAATTTGATTTTGTTTTTAATATGCAAGTTTTACTTCATTTTATGAGGTACAAAATGTCAACTTTTTAAATACCGTTTGTTAAAACTTTAAAGAACATTGAATCATACGTAGAGGCATAAAATGAAAATTGTTGCATGAAAAAAATTCAATTTCAAGCTTTATTTTAAGACTTTTTGAATTAAATTATAAATTTAAGAGTTATCCTTCCTGGCTGAGGATCGTATATCCTTAAAAGTAAATGACTAGAAAATACTAATAAAGAAAATATGCTCTGTTTTCTCAAATTGAAGGAACAGTGAGCATTGACCTCACTGAATGATACCCCCGCATTTCATGTGATAATATTTACATGTACATCCACTGAATCTTTTTCTCTTTATTTCTTATGAAGACCAATTCCATCTATCAGTGCATGGACAACAATAACCAAGCCTCATGCGTAGATTTCTTGACCAATGGCTATTAAAACCCCCACTTTTTTTGCAACAACTGCAATATTAGGACAGGTGATACAAACAATTCTTTTCTTTGGAGGAGACTTAATATCATGTCATAAGTTTAGAAAGTGGGTAATTCTTAGATTTTTTCTCCTTGGAAAATATTAGTAATATTTCAATAAAAAAAATGATATAGACAAATCACACACAGTAAAGATTTACAGATGATGACAAATATTAAGATATGTTATCTTGGTGCTAAAAGTGTAATATAAACTTTAGAAAAACATACCAAGCCAGGTGAATATTATGAGGAAAAACGAAATGACAAAAAATCAGCTGACTTTTACCATTTTGCCTCGGAACTACTTCCGAAATGATGACTATCATATTTGATATGTGTCTTAAAGTTAACCATACATTATAAGTGATTATTTGTTGAAATTTGGCAAACAGTACATTAGCTGTTATAATTTTTAATGGCAGAGACTGTACGTACTTTAATGCCCATTAAATATTTTTTTATCTTTGAGATCCACCTGCTAATGTGTCTAAAAATCAGGCATTGGTTGTCGTAAATTTTATATATTTCAGTAATTTTTTTTTTTTTTTTGCATTTTTAACGAGTTTTACTGCAGCTTTAATAAAGCGTTAAGTTTCACTATAGTTTACTGAATCTTTACGATTCATTTTAATGCAGTGTCTCAAATAGCCCTTGTTTTCCAGCTTCTCATGAGGGATCTATGTAATGAAAAGTGGTCACATAAACTGTTATCAATTAAAGATTCAATAATGGCATAAATTGTTATGAGTTCATTAAAAATCTAAGAATTCGAAAAATTCCAGCTTAACATAAAAAAATCTGTTTTGCATGTCATACAGTTCAGGACATTATTTATTGATCTGAACAGCCCTCGTATATTTGCTAAATTAGAATGATGCTTCTCTCACTTTAGAATCTATATTTTTTTTACTTAAACAACTTAATTTAGTGAAAATGCAAAAATGCAACTTAACTGTCAAATAAGTTTTTTGAAAAGTTAATGAAATGTACGCAATTGAAATTTCTTACATTTTTTTACATTCTTTTTTGCATTTTAATGATATCTCATCTAACATTAATGAATATTTAAGATAACATTCTTCTCACACAAACTTTATTTCTTGTATTTAAAAAATATTGAAATTTTACAGAATCAAGAAAACAATATTACTAAGTGATAGTATCAGATAAGTTTTGACCGTTTTATATTAGAGTCAAGGTCAGGTCAAGATTATTACAAGATCATTACATTTAGGCTTCTCCATGGACATTAAGAATAAAAATCAATCATGCCATAGATCTTCTATTTCAAAAGGTTAAATGTTTTCCTGTTTGCATAAAAGGATATTATCATATAAGGTCTATAAGATGATATTACCAAATTGACACAAACAGTTTAATAACAATGGATTTTGGCTCATCCATATTATCTCTAGTTCTCTTAAATTGTTTGGATATTTAAGTTATCTTAATATGCACCTTATATCTAAATTTTTCTCATTTTTACATATGGTAAACAAGTCCTATAAAGATACAAATGATACCAAAACAAAATGTTTTGACTGCTTAATAAGAGAGTAAAAACACTTTCTGTACGTAGCTTGGAAGCTGTTAAAAGCTTACATAATTTTAGTCTGTTTGAAAAATCATATTTATTTGATATATTTTAAAAAGTGTCCCTTATTATAAATTTAAGCTAACATTTGAAAAATTCTTCGCGTCATTGATTGTGTCAAAATTATAACTAAATTGATTGTTCAATAATAATTTTGACGAGCAGAAAAGAAAATATTTTCATGCGCCACCATTCCCCCCAAAATATAGTCCCTGCTAATTTTTAAACACAGTTTACCATTTTTATTTTCCTATAAGAAAGCGTTAAAAATTTTGAATCTTTTCGAGAAATACTTTGTCCATTAAGTCATGGGTCATATCACAAACATGATTTAAATGCATCGATTCTTAATTAAGTAAAGTATGTATTGGTTCGCGCGTTTGTCTCAAAATAATATGATACTCTGGATTTTTATTGCTAGAGTTCGAATCCAACGAATATTATTTTATATTTTATTAAAGAGATAATTTTGGCCAATTTTTTTTCTCACAAAAGGTTTGTGTCACATAATTTAATAGATTTCAATAATGAGAACTTAATTAAAATACTAAATTCACATGCTTAATATTATTTTCTAAACGCCTTGCACCATCCCCCTCCCCCATCTTCTTTGTTTGTAGTGCATGTATGTATCCTTAAAATCTATGCGAACAAATTATTAAACAGAAAATTAGAGTTTGAGATATTTTGTTATCTTCAAGAATACGTTATTATGTAACAAAACATCCAATATCCGTTAGCATGTAAAATGCAAGTACAATTTTAATTATCAATTATTTTGAACATAAAAAACACTTGCAATGAAGTATAATAAAATAAAATACTTTCTTGCTACATTTTTTATCTTGTCTTTTTAAATGTTGTTTTACGTTCCTCTCCAAAATTTTTACACATATTGAAAAGCCACAACTGTTGGCGGATAGCTGCAAGCTTTATCCTATACTCGACATTTAAGACCACTGCACAGTGAGGGGTCTCTTTCGTGCCAACATATACTGTGACAAGGGACCTTTTTTAAACAGTGTCATCCGAAAGACCGGTCTCCACCTTTCATGGTGGAATTCGAACCTGCGACGGAAAGATAAATTCCCCGGCCTTACAGCAGACGTTCTTACCACTGCGACAAGGAACTTTTTTATGCCCCGCCATGAATATGACCGGGGCATATAGTGTTTTTCATCTACTTTCTGTCCTTCTGTCCTTCCGTCCTTCCATTGACATTGACCTCACTTTTCTTAAATTAGTGTTGAGATCAGTTTTAAACATACCATTCAAGATGGTGTTATCACTGGATGCATACTGATGCGAGCTATTTAACTGCATTACCATTTTTGACTTTGACCTTTTCCTTTGACCTTGACCTCACTTATCTTTAATAAGTGTTAGCTCAGTTTTAAAGAAAACATTCAAATATTTTAATCAAACTTCATATGCTGTTACCAGAGGAGTCCGAATTTTTTATCCTAAAAATATCCGGAAAAACAAATCTTACCCTAAAAAAATTGCTTTTTAGTGATTTGATTTGAACATATTTTATTGTAATAAAATTACAAAGGATTGAGCAAAAGTACTGAATATTTATAACGCCCTCTCTCTATACATGTAAATTACACATTTATATTGTCACAGTTAAACATGCTATATAAAGTATTCAGCATTTGCAATAGTAAACAAATTGATGCATTTTGCATATATGTATAAATATATATAAAAAGTTGAACAAATTCATATATTAATATTGGTACAGTAACTCACAAGGAAATCTACCAGAATGTTTAATAAATGTTTGAACAAAAGAAAAGAGACGTTCATTCTCTGCAGCATTCAATGAGTCAAGCCCCCATAATAAGACATGTGTATCTTGTATGTGGATTTTATCAAATTGTAAAAAAATATGTAAAAATTCATTTCTGGCGTTCGAATACTTTGGACATACGAAAAAATAATGATATGTGTCCTCAAATTTACCGCACGTGCACAAGGGACTTATTTTAATTGCATCTGTAAAGGTCGTTATTTAATACACAATTATGTCGTAGTCTGGTTTGAAGAACATTTAGTCTTCTGTTACCGTTATCAAAGTAAGAAGGTGGAGCAGATCTAGATTTTTTATTACTAATTTTAGATTTGAATTTCGACATTGACTGTGAATTTCGTGTTTCAAGTGGAATTGAGTTCCATTCATTAACTACAGTATGAATAAACGTAGACTTATAAGCTTGTAATCAACACTTTGGAATATCATAATTTTGAGAATTTCTTGTCGAGTAGATAGATGTGTTACAGCGCATATTTGGAAGGATGTCCATTAAG